ACAAGGTAGGGCTAATGTGAGAGGAACACAAAACATCACAAACATAAAGATAAACATGACATCACAGTACAAGCACAACATTCAACTCCCTTCAACGGCATTGGGCGATTAACCTCAACTAAAAAGTTATTCCAGAACCGCCCAGCACGATTAACCTCAACTTAAAAGTTATTCCAGAACCGCGCTTTGTCCAGGAGACATAAACACATATATATTTTTCTTTTTTGTTTTGTTTTTTCTTTTTAGAGCAATCAAACAGCCAAGGAACATTCATGGGGCAATCCCCAGGGGTTGGTTACCCCAGCTCATGTTTTTTTCCCTGACGAATGTCCAAGACTTAATGTTGTTCTTGTATTCTAAAACAGACTTGCATTCCGCAGTGTCCACAAGACTTCAGGACTAACGGCCAGATGCTTTCTTGGATCTTTTTTTGAAAATGTTTTTTATTTTGGTGTATGTCCTATTCCAGCCCTGTCTGTTCAAGATGGTGAAGAGTTGGTCATTGGAGTTTAGCGTCTCCCTAATGATGGTGGTGCTTGGCAAGGTGTCCTGGTGAAATCGTTTTTTTGGGTGGACAGGTCATCAAAGTCATCCAGCCATGTATTTACCTTTGAGCTTCCCACAGAAGTAGTTGGCAATTCATCAGGGATCTTTGTGTCTTGTTTTGACTTCAGGTAGTTTATGTGGTTGATGACCTGTTTGACTCTCTTTTTTTGTAGGGCCAACTGTCCCAAAACAGAAGAAGTACAGCATTTGTTTCTGACATACTTCAATGTGAAATCTGTTTTGTTTTTTATGTCCTGCTCAAAAAGGTTTTTGATAGCCTCCTTCTGCTTGTCTGTTAACTTTTTTTCAGGTGTTGGTGGAACAACTGAGCTGGAGTGCATAGACGGTGGTTCCTCTGGATCAGGGGTGCTTTTACCCTCCATCTGGCTCAGGGTCAACTGCTTAGATACTGCTGGTGGTGCAGTTAGCTCAGACACAGAAGATGTCGATTCAATTTTATCAGTCGACTGATTAGCTGCTGCTGGTGGTGCTACTGGCCAGGACACGGGACATGGCGATTCATTGCGTCAGGAGTGCTTTCTTCAACAACCTTTGCTCTCGTTGATGGTTTAACTTTGTTGGCAGATGCTGGTTGCTTCTCTGTGTTAATGTCATCACCTTTTTCCGGCTCCAGTTTCTCTTCAGAAGTTACCCTGGCAATGATGTCAAGAGCCGGGGACCCCAGTTTGGTGAGACTGGTCCTCACGTAAGCCCTCTCAGCTGTCTTCTGTGAATGGCACATCACTTGCTGCACTATGGCTGCCTCCTCAGGCGTGGCCCATTCTTTTGTTTTCATCGACACAAACTTTCTAACGCTAACATTAGCCAGCTTCTCACCAATTCTCAACTTGGTCTTCAGGAAGAAGGCCTGTGTCCTTCGGCCAATAGTTCCTTCAGGAAATGGCTGGCCCTCTTTTGTCAAAAAGAGGTGGTTCTCGGATTGTGGAGCAAACTGGGGTCTTATCTTTTGGATGTAAATTTCCATAAGCTGCTGCAGTCCTTGTGTCATACCCAGGATGGCCGGACCCTCCTGAGATCGCTTATGATGGTCAACCAGCATGATTGTATTTCCCTTCTCGGTCTTGGCAGTCTCGTAGTCCTCGAGTGTGGCATTGTTTAACGGGCCTGGCCTAGTACCATTGTCAAGTGAAAAGATGGCAAGAAGGTCTGGCAGAAACGTATTCTTGAAGGGAGAGCACTTTCCCCTGGTCGGCTTGGTTAATTGCTTTGAGGCCTTCCACATAGGGCTCT